GGGGGGATGGGGTAACTGGGTGATGGACGTTAAGGAGGGCACGTGATGTGATGAGCACTGGTATGATACAAGACTGATGAATCGCTGACCTCTACCTCTGAAACTAAAAATACATTATATGTTAATGAATTGAATTTAAATAAAAACAATTTAAAAATAAGGTAAAATAGCTGAAAAATGTTTGTAAAATGAAAACGCAAAAACAACATAGCCTACATTATTGGATTAATTATACAGATTACATATTCATTCATAAATTATAAATTATACATGTATTATAAATTAAGTTATATTCACACAATAGAATACTAATAGCAGTGAGAAGACACAATTTATTGCTACACATGGATAAATCTCAAACATAATGGTAAGCAAAAAACAAAAACAGAAAGCAGATACAAAAGAATGCATAGTACATAATTCCATTTATATAAAGTACAAGAATGGCTAAAATCAATCTATGCTATTAGAAGTTCAGTTAGAGGTCACCCTGGAGAGCATTACGGGCACCTCTGGGATTTTCTTTCTTTATCCGAGTGCTGGTTACACCTTATCTTACGATAGATCCCAAGGGACCTAGTATTGTTTTTAAATATTGGAGTATTTTTAAAATAATGACATCAAATTTATCTCCCTTTTTCTGTGCAGCTTGGGATAATAAGACTAACTCAAGCTTCTATTTTTCATATGTTCTCTTAATTCTCTGGAGGAAGAACTATTATTCTAAGTAATATTTGCCCTGAGACATCCTAAGGCCAGGAAACAAAATGGCAAGCTAGAACCATGCACTAAAACCAGTTGGATATGGGGCGCCTCGGTGGCTCAGTAGATTAAGTGTCTGCCTTTGGCTCGGTCATGATCCCAGGGTCCTGGGACCAGTGCCATGTTGGGCTCCCTGCTGAGCAGGGAGCCGGCTTCTCCCTCTCCTCCATGCTCTTGCTCTCTCTTGGTATCTCTGTCTCTCTCCCTCTCAAATAAAAAGACAAATAAATAGAATCTTTAAAAAAGCTCGATAATCATTTTGAAAATTCTTAAATGATAGTTCTTCCCAAAATAAATTTTTGAAGATCAGACTGGAGGTGTTCTCATTGAAAAATTTCAGTAGAAAAGAAATTGGAGCTCTTAGTGGAGCTCAAACTCAATATGAACCAATGGTGCAAAAAAGCAGTCACCA